AGTCTTATAAAAGCCAGAAAGGACATTTTCCTCTCCTATAATTGACTTAGAAGCTGACCATAGGAGAATTAGTTGCAGTAAAGAAAAAGTGCACATAATTATCCATTACAAGATGCTGCTCATTTTCAGATGGACTCGCTTGTTCGTCTATCGCCTTTGTGCTTTAATCATTGGCCTGCCGGCAGCGATCGTCTTCGGAATCCTATTTGCCGTAGCCACTGTTATCAACGTCTTCGCATGTGTACCAATCGCTAAACTGCTCAGTATTCCCGGAAACTGGCTGGCTAAGGTAATTTCTAAATCCTTAACAAATTATCCCTAATTTTGGCATTGTCCACATACTTTACATAAACACATATCTCACTCCATTACGCTCGAATCCATCATCGTACCGCAAATGTGCAAACATTCGCGCTCGCGCAAGAGAAACGCGATATACCGCTGGTTGTATCTCGCATCGAATGTACCGTTGTTGCGTGTACACATATATTTGAATACGGAAACTATATTTGCCTACTGCAAAGGCTACTGACGCTACCGTATCCCCCAGAATTTGCGTCAATTTCAGACTTGGAGTTGGTTGGTGCATGCCATCGTCGATCCCATCGCTGGCGCTCTTGGACTTCTCTTCTCATCATTCACCATTAGAAAATACGGTATCAACTCGCAGCCAACTGATCCATGTGTTGCCTAAATCGCTTCACTCATCTCGAATTTTTGTGTTTGTCTGTAATTAAAAATCGTTGATTTCTGCTGCACCGATGATCTAATGAAGATGTTCTTCTCTTTGTTGACTTGACTAGCATCAATTAATACCATCTCCAACAGCAATTATGTCGAGATATTTCGAACATTCTAGGCGTGAGAAAGTGCGTCGCATGAGAGACGCAGATGCACACAGCAGGGGTTAATTACGGGATAGGGGGGCTAAACGTGAACCGGGATTTGAATTCAGGCCAACAGGCGCGCTCGTTCTGTGGGGCCAACTGTTAGCACAGTGTGGCCCGAGGTCAGCTCAACAGACAAACATGGAGTAGGCAAGTGCTGAATTGGCTTACTGGATGACGCAATAGATGAGGTTGAGGACATGGGATATATTTAGCAAGAGCCACAAAAATGCTTTGAAAATCAAAATAGCTCAGGGATAGCAAGAGATGAAAAAATATGTTTTAAAGAATAGAGAAAATTACAAAAGATTGTAAACCACATAAGATCTTAATAGCAACGAATTCCCTTTATTTAAGAAAAAAATTTTAATTGCAAATCATCTTAAACGCCTCGTCTTTCAATGGTGATCGTTGCTAGGAAATTTCTCAGCTTAGGAACGTTAAAATTTTATGGATAATGAACCAATGTCACCAATTGATATACAAAGAAAAAAA